GTCAAACAGTGTGCATGGGTCTGTTATAAGAGCAGTACTCAGTACTCAGAGTTTGGAAGAGGGGGTGTGTTTTATTAAACCAAAAACATGAGCGAGAAAGAGTGTAAGGAAGAAATTATGGTAATGTTTTTATCTGCTCTAACAGGCAACTAGCTGACTGACTACATTAGTAATTAGCATTACTTTCAAGGCCAGAGAGCACATAATTAACTACATTATTTTTAGGGGTCACAGGTTATATTAAAAAAGCACTGTGTTATATTCCCTCGCTGTGTGGATGTTGGATCGGGATGCTGTCAAAGTTTAGGGTTACCTTGCAGTTCTGTCCTTCTTGAATTGTATTTGGGGAAATATATACTTCAGCAACCACTAGTGTTACCCTAACACTGTGATTGCTAAACCCATCGGATGGTCCTAATTATTAAAGCTTTTTCTCTTTTAACATCAAAAGTGAAATCAAGTCTGTAAGCTAAGCACTCCCTCCAGGAAGTGGCAATGTTGCGATCGTAACAATTACCGCAAATACAATCAATCCCTCCCGAATTCTGCGCCACCTTGCAATTTTGTCCAATCACCACAACCTTTCTGCAAATTTGACCAATAATTGTAGTTTCCTGTGAGTTCCGCCAATCATAGCTGTCCTCCAAGCAAAATGTTTTGCAGTTTTCGCTTCTCACGCATTTCATTGCAAAAAAATAGGCTTAAAGCATTGCAACTGCTGTGAAATCAGGCATTGTAGGCCACAACAATCAAAAAAAAAAGCAGCTAAAGTGTTATGTTAGAAAGAAATAACAATCTGACCTTATGTTTTTACTTATCATACATAACACCAGGACTAACTGGTTTCACCCTGCATCAACGATGCAGTGGTATTACATCTCTTCTACATGGATCATCAGCTGGTGAGGATGCTGACTTTTTGCCTGAGACTTGCGGCTTTAGTCTCAATCAAGGTCTACTAGACCCAAAAGATAATGCTTGGCTGCCAGGTTGACAGTCACTTCTAAAAGTTCCTGTTGGGCACATTGTCATGCACATCATGGCGAGAATTGTTACTGTGGTATCATTAAGAGCAAGTTAACAGTTTAACTTGTCAGTTTTGAGTCTTTATGGCCTATAGACTGTTATCAACAGGTTTTTTTCTTACCAACTGAAGTCAACAAAATGCAGAAAAAAGGCTATTAAGAAAACCTGACAAGAATAGCCTGCTGATATTCACAGGCAGCAGACGTTTAAAGTCATTAAGTTATTACACATTAAGAGCTTTTGCTTGTGTATGAAAAATTACTACTGAATGAAATTTGTCAGTTCTTTTGGCACCCTGACATAGAAGAGGGATACAAACGGTGGCTTAAACCGCTTGATAGATCTGAAAGCATCCTCAAAATGAAGCAATTTGCACTTCCTCAAGAAATTAATTTTTTCTTAAGTAAACACATGAATAGTAACGATCAACTGCTCAGGTGTTTCAGGGGCTCAAAGTCCTTCGAGACAGCCAGCTTCTGCAAACATCACACATTTTTCTATCACATGTCAAAACTCATAACAACCCTGCAACCTTGAATCATTCGTGCCATCAGTGAACAGAGAGCTAATGTGACCTGACGGGTCACTCACATCAGTGGAGCGTCTGTGCCCTTGGGGATTGAGAGATGTAGCAGGGGGCAGGGTCTCTGCCATGTATGTATGTGAAGAGCTTCCAAATCAAAGGCGGGGATCAAAGGGTTGTCTTAGCGGGTGTCCTTGATTACATAACAATCACATTAAGTAGGTTGAGGATCATTCTCAAGGAGTCTAAACATGCAACACCCCAGCTGGGAAAACCTTTGCCGCGGTGCTGCCGTTGTTCTGCGGTTAAACTACATGAGGCACAATCTTTCTGTCTGTCTGTCTGTCTGTATCAGTGCTGTGGCACCACAGATCAAAGGCCCTCAAGGGATGGTGAAACTAACCCCTTCAGATGGACAGTGTAGACTCATAGCAATTCCTTTTTAACACCTATCGGTGTCTGATTCCCGCTGCAAATGGCGGACAGCCTGCTGTCAGATGGGATTAAGGAGAGCGTTACCTGCGTGCAGAAGCACAGAAGGCCAAAAAGAGCCGAGTTCTGTGAGCTGCGAATAATTCATCTTTCAGTAATGGCGAAAATGATGTTAGACCTGATCTGAGTTCACTCTGCCGCAGAATATTGGATCATTTACCAGAGAAAGATTTGTAGCCGTCGTGCCACTCAACTGCAGGGATTTTTTGAAGTGCAACCAAGGAGCTGGATTGAAAAAGGCATTTTTGGTTAAGGTCCAATAAGTAACTTGTTGGGCATATGAATCTGAGGTGCATTTACCTTTTTAATTGTGCCTTCAAAGAAAAAATACATCTTAAAAAGCTTCAGCACTGCAATAAAGCAACTGCTGGTCATATATTTATCTGTATTCTTATATTGGTGTATGGTGGACAGAAATAAGTCCAGGACTTTTTTCCCTAATAAAGTCTGACATATTAGAATATTTTCAATAAGCCAAGCCAAAAAATGTTGAATTCCTGAACCCATATTATTATTCAGTGTTGTTGTTTTGTGTTTTACTAACGTAAACAGGCTAAAGGAAGAAGATTTGTCGTCATTTTAGGATATTTCATTCTCACCTACAGCACATTGGAGGTTGATAACAGATCTTTCATGCAAAATATCACTAGTAAATGCAAAGTCATCCTAAAAAATGTAGGAAAGCATAAATAATTACATAATCCAGGTAGCAGGTGTCCAGAGTCGAAAATAGCATTGCATTAATGAGCACAAAGGGCTGCACCGGGGAGGGGGGCCGTGTTAACTAATGAAATATGATCCCAGAAGTCCAGGCTGAATAATGCATGTGTAATAAGTTTGAAGGCTAAACATACGGCAAAACACAGTTGTTTGTAACACTGTAAGACACGATTTTACAAAACCCTCGACCACCAGGTAAACAGTAATCAGTAACAGTAAAAAGTAATCAACAGTACAAAGACTGTGCACTTGGCCAAAGCCGTTCCTTGCTGGAAAACTGTGGAAAAACTCCAGCCAGGATCAACTTTTTTTTTTTTTTTGCCAGACGACCCTGTGTTCTTTGCCGGAGGCAGCTGCGTTGAAGCCTCTGCTGTGCCAAAATAGTGGTCTAATTGAAATGAATAAGGAAGCTGCATTTTTCTGGACTCAACACATATTACAACAGCTCATTGCAAAGAAGCACCTTAAATACAGTTAACATTACAAAATGATGTATAACAGTGTAGGCGTATCTACAGTTAGAGTTTTCTCATTAAAGCTTCATTAAAACTGTTGTAAAACATTAGGTCTTATTTAGGTTCATGTGAAATCATGTCGTAGACACACATGCACAGATTAGAAACGCGCACACACAGTTGCACACAATCAATATAACAGGTAACGTTTCACCAACCACTTAATTCGTCACACCGGAGGTCTTGATTTATTTTGTCTGACAGTGACAGTGCAGTGATTTACTATTTCCTCTCTGCCTGAGAGTTAAGTCGTGCTGGCGGAGACAGAGTGAAGAACCTTTCACCTGCCACTCTTATGTCACAACTACCACATTCATCCTGAAAAACTATACACTCCTAAATATAAGTCTTGTGATTATGTTCCTCCTCTCGCTAGATGAGTTTTCTATATCAACCTGTTTCTATATAGAGTTGGAAAGATTTTTATATGTCAGTAATTATCTGATAACGAGTCAGATTCCCCAGGCTCATGGGATGCATGTTTTCCTTGCGGTGCCTTCTCTCTTCAGCTAAGGAAATGATTTCAGAGGAGTAGTGTGTGATAAGATGAGACAGAAACCTTTTGGGCATGACTAATGCTACTGAGTCCAATTAAGCTGATGTCTTGTACCCACTGAATTAAATCACCCTGATATGATCTTGTCTGCCTATGCATATATTTGCCTCCAACTCTGATCACCTGAAAAAATAAGAGAAGGCAGAGAGCCTCACATATGCACGAATCATCGCTGTGCATATCTTTATAATTGGTGAACTTTCTGTTATTATTACTTCATCTGGAAATGTGCTCGCGAGATGCTTATCTAAGCGCTTGATTCAGGATTTGATGAATGTAATGGGAAAGAGGAAATAAAAAATAAAAAACGGGCCCTACAAAAAAATAAATGATGTGTAGTGGTGACAGTTGCAGGAAACCATTCATGGGCAGGAAACTGACTAAATTTATAGTTTGTTCTCTATTACGAAAATTGCTAGTCCTCCAAATGTGCTGAGATAGCAGGTTACACATAGGCTGGTTCAGACAACTGCCACCAAACTACAGTGATTCCCTGTAACCACTGCACCACACCCACTGAGAGTAAATTTATGACTTAGTTAAGCTCTCTGAAGGCTGCAACAGCTTGCCAGTAAAATGATTGTTAGTCTAGAGGAAGTCATAAATCAAAACAGGCTTCGGTTTGTCATTATCTATTAATACTCTGCCGCTCTAGAGCTCTGGAAACAGCCAGAATGCGCACGTTCTCGCCTTCTCCCAAGACTGAAGGATTTCCTCTGAAAGATGGAGGTAAAAGACAGCTCTTCAAAGTTTGCTCAGCTTGTGATTGATTTACTCATCCCTCCATGGTCTGCCTCGTGCACTGACAGCTCTGGAGGTGGAACAGTGTTGAACGCCTTAATTGAGCCGAATGCACAGAGCTTAAATGCTGCAGGCACAAAACCCACACAATTAGGAAGGACTAATGACGTGGGGTATCACCCATTATTTCTCCAAATAACCCACAGGGCTTTCCATATTTAGTATCACTAAGTCTTAATTAGTGATTAGGAAGAGGAAATAGAGTATTTAGCTGAAACTGAGCATCTTCACGCGAGCCATTTTTAACAGTTCCTACATCTTTTGTTAAAACCAAAAAGTAGATGTATGTAGGTCATTATTTGAAAACGTGTTTGAAAATCTCTTTGTGTTGCTGTGTAGTTATTAAAAAGTCTTTCTCTCTTTTCAGAGCCAAGATGATATGCATGTCATCCACAACAATCAACTGGGTAAGTCTCATCACTAATGACAATAGTGGCAAAAGTGGGAAAGTAAGACAATTAAAAGAAATTGAAAAAAAAAAGAAAAAGTTTAGATTACGACCCAAAAATGATATATTCTGTACATATTGGATGCCAATGAAATACTTACTGAAGCACAAGGAATACGGGGGTAAGGCATTTATAATAAGTTATTAATTGTATAAATAAGGTACAGATAGGAAACTGTCCTTTTAGCGACAGCTAGAATATCTTCGTCATGAAAAAGAGCCAACCTAAATGATAACACTTTCACTTTATAGAAACTATATAAAGAATATAAATATGAAATATGATATGTATACTGAAATGAAGAATAGCTAACCAATCTACTCTTTAAACTGCATTATGTCCATTAAACAATTATTACTTCGGTAAAACGGTAAAAGTATATTCTCCTTAATTATATGATATGATAGAACATAACATCTACTAATATCAGCGTTGATCATCAGATGGATTTACATTGGACCTATAAACTACATTACAGTTTTATAATATGTTATTACTGTTTTAAGGACATACACAGTTTTATAGCTTCAGCTAAAGAGGCACAAGTTTTTTTTCCCAGACTTAGCAGCAGCAATAATGTACATCATATTAATATCAACAACAACAAATGTCTTTTTACAGTGTTTTATTTAGTATCATATTTTATTATTATTCTTAATTTCATTGCAGTGTCAACATCAACCTTTCCTGTCTCATTACCCACTAACAATGTTATTGCACCCTATTATTATTATTATTATTATTATTATTATTAAGTATACTTTCAGTGTAATTTATTTAAGTCTCTCTGTTATTCCGTTATTTAATCTCTAAACTCTACCCAGTGAGTATTTTATTGATATCATGTGTATTCTAAATAAATACATTATACTTTGCAGGTTGTAGGTTACCAAAGACTATCAAATATGTACATATATATTTGTCTTCTTTTATGTGGTGCTGTACTTGATAGCACCTGCGTTGAAAGCTGCTATTAATAGTAAGGGTCATCTTTTGGACCGTTGTTTGATATTTGGATCAGTCTGCATCAGTGGAGCCACTTTGTAATGCTGAATGACATTCAAAGGGATGAACTATTACTGAGTATTTTTCAGTTTTAAGAGAACTGCATGCTCAAAGGATTGAAATACATTATCACTTGATGTAATCGTGGATAGAAAATCTTGAAATGAAAAATGTTGGACAGTGTGAAATTTAAATAGCAAATGCTATTAAATGAAAAAAGAGCTTTTGTCTGATGCCTGCCTTGAAATTTTAATCTTCTCTGTTCTTCAGACTTTTTCATAAATATAGTTCCATCTCTTTATCGATTTGACAGGAACCAGGAATTTCATAAGGAGAGCAAATAAAAAGATCGCATGCATGCCTTTCATGCTTCAGGGGGCTCATACAATCACCATCTGAGAGTGATTTCGGGAGCCTGCAGAGGAGTTTGGAGCCAGTTTTCTGGACCTCTGCCTGTTGTTCATTCAACTGGGTCACCACAGACGCAAAAGCACACAAAAGCAACTTCATAATGCTCTCATTTGGCACCTCAGCACAGAGAGGAAATACAAACAGACAGCTATCTGAAAAATGGAGCTTCACTATCTGGCTCCGCCACAGTAATTCCCTTTGTCACACCAGAAAAGCTACGTTTGCCTGCAGAGTATATTGTTTGTGGGCACGAATTCAGAAGATGAATAAAGGGAGTCAGACTTTCTATTGTTTTAACAATACAGCAAACATCAAAAGGTATAACTGGCTTGTTTATTTTAAAGGAGCTGGTGACCTTTTAGAAAGTACTGTAAGTAATCACTCAAACATTGTTTCTTTGGAGGGAATACAGGGTGCCAAATCTAAATAGTAGAACGATGTCTCATTTAAGTTTGAATAAAATGAGCCACTAGACACAGTTTATACACAGATCTGCATTATTACATAGAGCAGACAAACAGCAGTGTGAGTCCTGGGGCCATATTGTGCTTCATGTAGTTTTTTTTTTTTTAAATGCAGCAGGCTACATCTCAAAAACACAGTTAACTTAAACCTTGAAGAATACCGGCCGAAATACCTCAGGAGATGAAATCATTCAAACCAGCCAGCATATAAATATACATACATAACTGCATCGTTTAGATATGAGTGTAAAAAAAATGTGTATAGATGCAAATGGTCCTCATCTGTGCCCAGGGCCACAAGTCCCTGTTGAATGTTACATAACCTCCTACAGCGAAATCAACAAATGGAATCAGAACTACACTGTTTTCCACACAACGCACTTCTTCAATTGGCCATAAAATCTAGTTTAGTAGAAATATTACAAAAAACCTCTTTTTTGCAATATCTTCTACTTCTACTCTAAATCAATTTGTATTAAAGGACATCAAAACAACATCATATTCTGCAGCGTCAAAATAAACGGTCAACATCATAATAATACAAGGCCTGTGGCTGTCTAGCCCAATCAATTTAGTCAATTCACTTTATTTCCACACTCATAGTCCAAAAAAGATAAAGTAGAAAAATTATGTTTTATATGCTCAGTGTAACAGCAGAGGAACAAACTATTATTATAGTAATTATAATGCATGTAAGGAACTTTTTCAATTAAACCAACTTTTTAAAGGTAGGGTAGGTAATGTTTTAGACCGTCAGACCTCCATCCAAAACCACTCCCCCAACACACATGAACACACAGTACCTGAGAGGTTGCTAACCCTATCTAACTACCTCATGTCTCATACGTACAGAGTCAGCACGCAGTTCAGGAGAATAACAAATTCCCCCCAAAACAAAACAAACCAGATAATTCCCTGTCCCTCAGTTCTCACCATTGTTGTCATTCAGTCTGAATGAAATGATTGGCTGAGCTTATTACAAGCCTGTGACAGCTGCAGACACTGGATTTTTTTTCAGAGGATTTGATATATTGATTTCTGTCGGGATGTAGAGAGAATTTCAACAAGTAAAACAAAAAATGCTTCTGCAATACATTACCTACCCTGGCTTGAGCTTCAGATCATTCCCAGTGTTCTAACCCGCTGGTCCTGGTTTACATACGTGTGCAGTATATGGAGGGAATGCATTTGGACAGTAACTGCTGTTAATGAACTCAAAAATAGTTTTAAACCAATTCAGACATTTTAATATCTTGTCTGCCAAGCTCAGCTTTTAAGTAAGTAGATCCAAAGCAGTAATGTTCTCATCTCTTATGTAATGTCTAAATGAGGCCATTTTGACTGAAATCCTGTCAGTTATTCACCCAGACCACAGTTATGTATTACTTACCATAAGGTAGATTTTATATTCGTATTCCTTTTTAAATTTAGCAGACTTTTTTCATTTTAGTTGTCAGTCAGTGTAGATATACACGTTTAATCTGGGATATTCTAGTTAGCTGCGTCTGTAATAAAATTTGAGTCTTTTTCTCAAGATTTCATGTTGCAATTAGTTCCTAAAGGATTTTACACTGAGACCCACTGAGACTCGGTAAGGAAATTACATCATCCTACATTAGAAGTCACACAATTCCACTTTTAAAATTGTGCTGTGGGTCAAATTGTGTCTTACTCCACTTTGGGGAAACACTGATTTGTGGAACATGAAATAGAAGAAAGTAAACAACGTTAGATCAGATTCTAACACTACATACTTGCTCTCTAAGTGGCAGCTTCTCCAGAGATTTATTGCAAATTCTGTTGTTTCAGCTTAGAAACCTTAATACAGATATCATGCAGCAGGATTTGTTCTCCTTACTTATTTTTCTACAATGGTGGAGAAATTGGGATGTCTGCCTCTTCTCTCTATTTTCTGCAGTATCAGTTAGTCATGGCCAGTGCTTGTGTTTCTTGTTTAACTTTTCTGCAAAAATTGCAGAAATGTGGAACCTTGTTCTTGCTCACGACTTTAAGGGAATAGCACTAAAATCAGATGTTTATTGTTGATGATGTAGAAAAATAAATGACCTAAAGGTTCGGTTCTATATCTGTGAGAAAGAAAAACATTCCAGCACACAGCAGATGAAAGGTACATCGCCAAAAGCTGTACCGTTTTAAAAGGTTGATTTTACATTTTAATGTATAGTGTTTGATGGTTGAGGGTATAGGGCAAGTCTGTACCACAAACAGTCAACGGTATTGCTTGAGAGCAGAGAAGGTGTGCCAAAATTGAAATCAGATTGTCACTATAACAATAATTAAGCCCAGAAAAGCTGTGCTACTGTACCCTCTGCACCTGTATTATATGCATTAGGTGGCTCGGAGCCAGCTTCTTGAGACCAGGGGGGATACATATTGTATCTTGAAGAAGGTACAATGTTCACAAGATGTTGACTGAATTCTTCATGCGTACCAAGTAACAGTGTATTTACTTTTCAAAACTTTCTTTCTCTTACACTCTGGCAGCATTGTACCTGCTTTCTTTATTTGTTATTCTGAACACGGCTGATAGCTTTATTTTCAAATTAAAAGAACACCACACATTAATCCTCAAAAATGTTACAAACATCACTGGCATATATTGTTGTATGGGGTATGAAATCATGCATCTTTCTAAAACTGTCAGAAATTAGGAAAGCACAAAGTTATTTTATCATCCATTTTTGAAATAAGATTATGGATAACGAATGGGTTTTATAAGTAAAACCTGGAATCTGTTCTGCATTAATTGCTTTAGCTTCCTGAATTATTGATGCTAAGTGAGGTTTAAGGGTTGAGTTCAGCACTCATTAGTCTTCAGCAGAGTTGTCCATAGAGTCATGAACTCTAGAGATCCTCTAATGAGTGTGATTATCACAGGTTGAAGACCTTTTTCTCCAACCTTTACGTGTTGCATCTGCTGTGTGATTGTTTTGTATGTGTGTTTTTGCGCGACTACTTGGAGAGAATTGTAATGAGCTAATTTTTACAGGAGAGTGACTTTTCCCCCTGATGACTTCCCCCTCATGCATACCTCTCTTTCTCTCTCTCTCTCTCTCTCTCTCTCTCTCTCTCTCTCTCTCTCTCTCTCTCTCTCTCTCTCTCTCTCTCTCACTCACACACACACACACACACACACACACACACACACACACACACACACACACACACACACACACACACACACACTTTCATCTTTTTCTTCTTTTGCAATCCTGGTGCATCTCTCTATCTCTCTCTATTGGTTTGCTTCCTCATTTCACTTCCTTTCTGTCACCCCCCTCCTATTTTCCTCTCTGTTTTACTGAGAGATATTTATGACACTGACCTTTCCAGCAGTAAGCTGAAAGTTAAATACACCATGCTCTCTATTGATCTTGTGCAAGGCAATTAAAAGTCTGTATTAATATGAGAAGGAGGCTGATAGAAAATCGTTTCACTTGCTGCATGACACATAGGCCTGTGTCACACTAGATGATTGCCTATAGGGAAGGTAAATTATTTTTATATGGCTAAATCAAACTCTCAACAGCCTAAAAAAGTTGGCTATATTGAATTTGGGCTTACAGATTGAATATCACCGGATGTCTGCGGATTGGCTATTAAATCCTGATGCTGTCTGGTGTGACGGTCATGGTTAGTTTGGTCTGGAAACTGCAACCCAATTCTCTTCGGTGTACTATGTCTCTCGGATGCACCGTTTCGGACGTGAGGAAGAGAGAGATGGAGGGGAATTTTTAGGAGAAGGATGATTCTGGGCCATCTTGTCTCGGGGAGTCCAATGATGTGAGTCATTGGAGTGTAGCAGGTTGTACACCAGCACAATCAGCTGCTGGATGGGGAGTCAGGCCTGCCGACTATGGAAATAGGCTATTGACATCCTCTGTCATCTCTGAATATGTGCTGGCGATGAAGAGCTCTGGATCTGTCATGACAGTTTCATTGTTCCCACAACAGCCTAATGGCCCCACTTGCAGAATCTTATCCCTCTAGACTTTTGCAGACATTTGTCATTGAAATTACACTATTGATCTGCTTTCCATCCGTATGCTCCTCCCTATTCTTTCATAACTAGATTTAAAATCCTGCTCTCCCAAACTTATTCACACATTCATTTGAGCACTGTCTGTTGCCTTGTCATGGACGTGTGTTTATTTAACTGTGGCGATGGAGATACTCTAGCCTGAAATTAAATGTTCCTGTGACAGCTCTGGTGACTACACACACCTGCTCTGTGACACTGATGGAGATGACAGAGCTGCAGGAGTGCCTAGAGGTCAGTGTGCTCTCAGTTCCTCTGCCACTTGGCAACGTCTGCCATCCTGCTCTAAGGAAGTGTCACTATTGATTTGTGTCGACGAGGTGACAACACTGCAGGGCCAGGCCTCTACGAGAGCACACAATCTACATTCAAGTGCAGATATTTGCTACACCCTCCTGTATTCTCGCATGCACCTAGAAACAAAAATCCGCTTTGGTTTAACACCCGTGATTCTTTAATCACTCTGATCCTCTGCCCTCTTGTATTCAGAAAAGGCAAGAAAGTGAATACATACAACACTCAAAGCCTTCGCACCGTTTGCCATAGACCAGATGGTTATGGCCTTTAAACAATGGCTCCATGCGTTGAGAAAAGCATCAGATCAGAGAGAGGAGGCAAAATTCTCCAGTGTCTCATTTCATCCAATATATTTCAAGGCTGATACAGTCTTTTTTCTATGAAGTGGCCTCTGTGGAATACTGAATGACTAGACTCATGCTTTCCAGTTCCTTCAGCCTGGCAAAATAAAATCATCTATTCTGAGGTGACATGGGCTTTGACTTCATCTCCCTAGGAACCTTCAATCTCTTTCATTTGAGGTATATTATTATAAGCCAAGAGGCATCCTTTGATAATTTCACTTAACCACAAACAAAAAGTGTTCTGCGTTATGTTTTGCACCAGGGTGCTGCTTCACATCTTTGCCCTACCATTAAATAGATAAATTGATTGCATAATTTCACCTCTGGGAATACTGCTTTTACTGCTAGCTCTAATAGCATTACCGCTGTGACAGCTATGAAAATAAAACACCCAAGCAAACATTAAATACACTTTGTCAAGCACCCAGAGTCACCTTTACAACCATTGCACTGACCGCAAACTCCCTAGCAAAGACCTGGCAACATCCTACCCAAATGCACTCGCAATATTCAAGTAAAATCAAGCAAATCACAGAAGAATAAAGCAGAAGTTAGAAAGTGATTAACAGGAGAAACGAAAGAGATTAATGAGGCTTGCTCAATTGTTATTGGAGCACAGAGAGAAAAGCAATCCATCCAACAATCAGAATTTCATCACCATTATATAAATTGCCTAACAACCACTAAGAACATCAAACATCTACTAAAACCCTAGTAACCACATCAAACACCCAGTTCCTAGCCATCTCCTAACACCTTATCGTCCCCTTATAATGCCTGAGCAAGGCAAGGGCACATACAAAACGTTAACGTTCTTATTCTTATTCTGCTCAGCCCAGAGGCATCCTTGAATAATCTGACCTATCCACTGAAAAAGTGCCTGGTGGTATCCTTGGCACAATAGGCATTCTTCTAAATCTTTGCCCTATTAAATAAAGGTAGATGTATTGATTGCACATTTGTAATCTGGCACAGGCTGCCTTGAGTGTAAAGAGACTGCACAAAGGTGATTTTTACCTGAAAGGCGAAGGACACAGGAATGATGGAGGTGAAGGAAGAAGGGCACTATAACAGGATTTTTCCCTTTTCCCTTTTCTCCCTGTTGTTTGATGATTAATCGAAACCCATTAGTGTGGAGCTGAGGCCAGTGAATTCGGTCTTAATTAGTTTCTTTTTTTACCCCTCATTCTCCTTTGCTTTGACATGGGGTGCGCATTATCCACACAATGAGGGATTGGCAAACTGCTTATCTGATTTTGCTGTTAGTCTCATGCAGCTGGTATTATTGCTGTACTGTGCAGTATCAGGAGGCTGGTACCTCACCTGGGCTTTAAAATGGACTGCTTTATGTGATACCAGATGCACACACACGTACATACACATAGTCGTTCATTTAGCAAACTCAGCAGAAGGACATTTAGAGGTGGTGTAGTGGTGTTCGCTCTCTAAGCTTAGCTCTCGGCGGAGGTTAGATCTGTTGGGAGATGGACATGCTGAGATTTAGCAAGTAAATCCCCCCCTCACCAGGGCTCTAGGATCAATGGGATCTTTGTTATGAGCGGCGCAAAGGAGTGACACACCCACCAACACTTAATTAAAAAGATGTGACACACATACTGTACCATGGCATAGTGTCTCCCCCTGACCCTGCTGCTAATGTCTGAACCCAGGGTGGGAATAGGTTCAAGTAGTGTAATTGAGGAGGAGGCAATCCATCTAATCCTGCTATTGTCAGCACTTGCCCTTCCCCTCTTCCCTTGTATTGCTTTTTTGAACTATTCCAATGGGAAGATTATAGACCTGTCAGCAGTGGCTGGTACTTATTTATGTTTTTGAAACACTAAAATACACTTAGTCATCAAATTTTGAAAAGCTTCATGGGAAAAACTCCTTCTGGTAATCATAATTTATGACATGGTATACCCTTTATGACTATGTTCTGTACAAATACTTAAGCAGCTAATTAAAATGTCTCAAGCAAGTGAGATTAATTTGGCACAAAGCCTGTTATGTTTGTTTGAGCTCAAATTAAGGGGAAAATACACACAAAAAGCCCTACCCATCTAATTACTGGGAAGTTTTTGAGCTGCCTGTCATAGCAGGAAAACTCTGACATCTCTTCGGCTTTTATTCTTGCTTCACACCTGGATATTGGCTCCTACCTCTCAGCTCTAAATCCTTGAAAAGCCTTTTTGTTGTCACAGTCACTCCAGCCAAGTGCTGCAGACTTCATTTTGATGTGAGGGACAGCTTACAGGATTTAGTAGTTGTCAAATGTAATTGTACAGAGCCAAAGACAAAATGACAGATTATTTTTGTATTCCCTCCCCCCTGGTCTTTTGGTCTACATTCGATTGCACTAGTTGTGAGAGCCACAGGGTTTATGTGGGCCTGTTTGTGCAGCCAATGTCATTCTTCACTGAGCTGTGTCACTATTACTGCCCTGTAAATGGATTTCACATGAAGAGGAAGTGCAGCAAGCTGGGTCAATGACAAAGATGGTATCTAAACATGTTGTTAGCATTGGAGTAGCCTGTATTAGGAGGTTTTAAACTGACATTATTGAGCTGTTAACCTTGGCCTTAATATCCAGTAACAAAAAAAAGAGTTTTAGTGACAATGGACGCTGTGTCATTTAGAAGTGGACAGCTGGGCAGTGTCAACCTTTTTAGGTGTTAAGTTACCTCCAAAGAAAGACTTTTCTGACTGCTAATCTTTTATTAAGTAACACAGTCTGGGCTGTGACATTTACATACTCTTTCCCCAAGACAATTAAGCTCTTGATGTGCTGGTTATTATCAGCAGGCCAATAATGGAGATTAGCTAAAAAAAAATCACCTCAGTTATTCTGACCGTGGCTCTTATCTTGTCTTGCTCTCAGAAGGTCATCGATTGCCATGATCCTTTTTCACAGTATGTGAGCGGTCTCACATCTTTGTCCTTTGTGTTCCTCCAGACCTGCGGGAGATAGTGTTCATCCTCCAGAGCCAAAGCAACTCCTTCCATGTGAGTCAGGCAGAAAGACGGAAAGCAGATTTACTAAAGCAGGCACACAGTCTCACAGAGGTAAGATCCAACACATCCTTTCACTCATGCACACCTGCTCTTATTTTGGTATATGGATAGTGCATGAAAGCTTCGAAGAAATATGTGTAGGCAACAATCATCTGAATAGGAGTCGTTGTAAGCTGTGTATGTTGCCACATGGTGTCAGCACTGATTTTTAAACATGATACAAAAACTTTACATTCTTTAAATTGGAAATCCATTTGGGAGAAGGTGCACGTAACAGGATTTCAATGCAACTTTGCCAAGTGTTTGCCATTTGTTACACTATTACGCAATTCTCATCATTTTAAATATTGAATCATAGTATGAAGAATTATTCATGGTAGCCTCCAGATTAAACCTCTAAAGTACATTAAAGTCCGAAATATGAAAGTGTAGTTTGAAATATGCAATGTTTCAGCTCGTTGTGACAGTAAATCGTGTGCTTACTCATAATTTTATGTATTTAGGAATTCCAGACATTTGTGCAGCTTTGATGTTGAGATATATATATTGCTCCACTCATCAAATGAAACTTCCATTTCTGGCCTCTTGTCGGTAAATTTTTAATGAGAAGTGATGATCATCCAAGGGCATATGTTCATCTTAATGAATATTGTAATTCCTGGTTATAATTAAGATAAAAAAAAAAAAAAAGGCTGGGGGAAAGAAAAAACTATATTTTCTCCTGTGTCATCAGCTTAATATTTCATGCAATTTGTAAAATTTCAGTAAACACATCAGCATCATGTCACCGGAAAATGCAGAGTGCATTTACAGGTCAGAATGCCCTTTGCTTCCCGTCATTAAATCTCTTCAGAGCGAGGTGAAATGTGGTGTAATACATGAGTTACATTAAAGAGTGAATGCGGCGTATAATAACTCTAATAACATTACAGTAGTTAGATGAGGAAACTGCGTGCTGTGTTTCTTGTATCAAGAGACCAATGTAGATCTCCTAGTTGGGTTTGTATTTCTGTGGTCTTGGATTTGTCCTTGTTGTTGTTGTCTCAGTCTCTCTTTGCCACTGCTGGGTGACACATACCTTTTATCTACAGTATTGACTGACTATACCAAACTGACAGAGAATATATATAAATAAACTCAGTGAGTCATTATTTCTCTTTCTCTGGTTTGTGCTGTTATTATTGTTTGAAAGTAATCTTGAAATATGTGTGTATGGCACACCATTTAAATACCATGCTCTTGAAAAAACTACCGAAGACCCTGTTGTCTTTTTTGTCTCCTATTTGTCTACAACAACCGTGAAATCCTGCACTCCACCTTAAAAATTACAACGTCCAAAATAAGGATCATGCAACAACTTCCTCATTTGATTTTTATTGAATTCTGATAAGTCAAATTTTGTCCACTATTTGGAGAGATTGTTTCATGTTTCCTCTAATGAATAGTGGCATCAATTTGTGCCAGCAGATAAGATTTGTCATGAAAAGACTTAGTTACACTAATGGACATCAAACTTTATAAGATGAGACAGACTTTATGAATACCACATCATGTCGTGTTTGCATTTATGATCCCAGAGATGGCTGGCGTTTTAGTATCTGTTGCATGCAATTACACAAACTAAGTCCAGGGAGAATTTTAATCAGCAACTTCTCAAAGAGGCAGCAGTAAAGGTTTGACAGCTTTTCAAAGAGATATAAGACCCAAAGACTTGTGATCAAAATGAGTTATCTTCATAGAATCAGAATGAAAATACCTTTAGCCTCAGGTGTAACCAGAAAGCACTCAGACAGCATGCTGTACCTCCACCAAGACTACAGAGTGCTCAACATTATTATTTATTTAATAATGTAAATGTAAAGAACGTGAATTGAATGTGTATCAAGGACAATTTCACTCACAATTGAAATGATAAAATACCAGCATTTCTATACAGCTTGAAAAGTCAAATGTTGCCAAATGGAAAAGAGCAAATGCAAAAGCGAGGGATGAAAATGGGAAAAGCTAAATGATAACTTCATATATGAATTCTCCATTTTGCCTATCCAGTTTTCTTTTTACTAATGTTTTTATTTTCTTTTTCCAATACACATGACAATTCTACCTCTTGCATTTTAGCCATTATGTTTTGCATTTAAGATCTTCTATTTCCCCTAAAACCTTATTGCACTTTCCATTATCATGTTTGTCATTTCAATATCCAACCTGTTTTTAAGTTTATGGCATCCTGTTGGTGCTGAATTTAACAGAATAAAAAAAACAGATTTCTTTAACAACATTAGAACATAAACTTCAAACTCTCCAGTTTATTTTATTTACTACCCCCCCAACCTTCTTAAGCCAAACATGAGCTACAATCGGCCATCCACCACTTCACTCCCACCTCCGAGGCACAACACACACAAGCTTACAGTTCTGCTGTTTAGTAGTCTTAAGAGGGTGTTCCTGGGATACTGAAGGAAAAAGATCAAAGCCAAATAATACAAGAGATTTGCTTAGTTTGTAGCTGTTAAACCTGTTTGATGTACAGTATGCTGTGGTGCATTGCCACAGAAAGCCCTTTAAAGTCTTTCAAAATATCTTGAAATCAGTTTTCAGATAAACAGACAGCAGCGACATAAGAAAAACTGAAATAACCATTGGTTTCTAGTCCTACTCAAAAAAGAAGGGTCAGGTTTTGGACGTGCTTGGATTTTATTTCTGTAGGTCAGAAAAAGGGGGGGAGGGGGATTACCAGTGTTCTGGTCAGAATTTGAAGCTTCTTGAATTATTTACTGCTAACTTAGTGTCATTAAATATATGAAATTTCCGGCCAACATCAGTGATAAGTTGAAGATTTATGACCTGATCGCTGCACCTCGAGATGGGAAACGCATGTACTATCAATATTTCTATCTACAGGCCTTTTTTTTCACCCTCAGCAGATATTTCCGTTTTATCCTCATCTGACTGTGGAAGGTTTTGTGATATCCAAAGATTTACACAGACAGGAACTTGTGTATTCTATGTGGCGGCTCACAGCCCATGTTCCTGCAGTCTGACATTCTGCCTTCTGGGAGGAATTCACATTACATTTATATAGTAGTTCTGTCGTTTAGCCGATTGCTCAAACAGAGACGCGCAAGTACAACAGAATGGGATTAAAGCCTGTTATAGGAGTAGTGAAATACACTGTTTTTAAATGCTTTCTCATACATGTTGTGTTAACAACCTATGCATTCATGGAGCCACTGTGAGGGAGTCCTGTTCTTCACTTAGATATTTGGCTATCTTTGGCTTGGCTTAATTGGCCATTAAAAATGTCATTTTCGACCGCAGCTCATCACTGAAGTGGTTTTGACAGGTAGCTGCCCTGTCTCCAGTCTCCACTTCAGCCCCTCCTATGGTTAAGAGCATAGCTTCCTGTCCCTCCATGACAACGAGATACCAGTGACCCCTATCTTCTCCCAAGTCACCAAGCAATCAGTGTCCTATTCGTTGCAAGCATGTCCACACAAGAACCAGCTCTTATCTGTTGATTAGGAGTCTGCCGCTTGCACACAATTGCCATAAAAGAATTAGCCTCCTCCTCTACCTCCTTTATCACAGGAATGTCAATAGCTCTTTGAAGCAAAAGCTCTGTTTTTGAAATTGCATTATTATCTGACAACTCAAGACGCTTCTTTTCTATTTAACTTATTCTTGCAGGGATTGTGTGAATGTCAAGTGGGGAGCAGTTTAATAAAACATGGTAGGTGTCATTATGCCATTAGCTTCAAGATAAAGCTCATATTAAATGAGAGCTAACAAACCTCAGCTGACTAATACGGTTTAATAAGTGTAAACAGCGTCAGACCCATCGCCTTAATCAAACAGGCTGCCGTTAGACAGAATGGCTCGGAGGAGACTGTTCCCCCTGACTTCCTGCATGATGAGTGGACCATGCGGTAATGAACCACAGGGTCTTACGCTCTGCTGCTTTGTTTTCCTCACAGTGTGAAACATCAGCTCTCTCAGACAATCCTCGCACACCTTCAATTCTCCGTCCTCACTACTGAAAATTTTGCTGAAAACAGATTCCTCTCATTTGGAAGTGATTGTGTGCACCGTCTGTGTCCTGAAATACCCTGTGCTCGTTTCCAGTGATATTTCTGTCTTACTAACGGTGTATTTCTTAGTGTAAGGGCCTCAAGAGCAGAAACCCTAAAGGAAATATGGGTTTCTAAGGACCGTAGTGTGTTTACAGGTTTTATCTCCTTAAAGGATGAGACTAGCATTATTCTGTGTTTTTCTCAATCATTTACATGGAAAGATCAAAACCCAAGTAAAGCCAAGGTCGGCCTAAACAATATGAGCCCAATAATGGCCCAACCTGACAAACTTTGGGAATTAAAATGAGGCTGATTTGTGATAGTGGGCAATATAAATAAAATTGACTCAGCTTAAATGAGCGTCAGATGCGACAATAGCTAATCTTATCTTGTGTAGTGTGTCATAGAGGAAGACTAGCATTTCTAAACAGATGCTACACTGCATTCTCATACGTCCGCCTGTAGGTAAATCGAAAAAAGGAATGATGTCAGTGAACCATTTGAATATCACCCTCTGGTTAGGAACATTACAGTATACTAAATTAATCATGAGTGCGACATCACAGTCGCCTTCCGCGCACATACGGTATGTATGCTGCGCTGACTGGAAAAAGAAAAAACAGAGCCGAGGGTCACTTTCATTCATATAAGTCTGCTTATATACAGTGCATACGGAAAGTATTCACAGCGCTTCACTTTTTCCACATTTTGTTATGTCACAGCCTTATTCCAAAATGGATTCAATTCATTTTTTTTTCCTCAAAATTATACACATAATACCCCATAATGACAACTTAAAAAAAAGTTTGTTCAAGATTTCTGCAAATTTATTAAAAATAAAAAACGAAGAAATCACTTGTACATAAGTATTCACAGCCTTTGCGATCAAGCTCAAAATTGAGCTCAGGTGCATTCTGTTTCCACTGATCATCCTTGAGACATTTCTGCAGCTTAAGTGGAGTCCACCTGTGGTAAATTCAGTTGATTGGACATGATTTGGAAAGGCACACACCTGTCTATATAAGGTCCCAAAGTTAACAGTGCATGTCAGACCACAAAACAAGCATGAAGTCAAAGGAATTCTCTGTAGACCTCTGAGACAGGATTGTCTCGATACACAGATCTGGGGGAGGGTACAGAAAAATTTCTGCTGCTTTAAAGGTCCCAATGAGCACAGTGGCCTCCATCATCCGTAAATGGAATAAGTTTGGAACCACTAGGACTGTTCCTAGAGCTGGCCGTCCCTCTAAACTGAGTGATCGGGGGAGAAGGGCTTTAGTTAGGGAGGTGACCAATAACCCAATGGTCACCCTGACAGAGCTCCAGGGTTCCTCTGTGGAGAGAGGAGAACCTTCCAGAAGGACGACCATCACTGCAGCACTCCACCAATGAGGCCTGTATGATAGTGGTCAGATGGAAGCCACTCCTTAGTAAAAGGCACATGGCAGCCCGCCTGGAGTTTGCCAAAAGGTACCTGAAAGACTCTTTTCAAATCTTCAAATTTTCTGGTGTGAAAAAGATCGAACTCTTTTGGTGTGAATGCCAAGCATTATGTTTGGAGGACACCAGGCACCGCTCATCACCTGGCCAATACCATCCCTACAGTGTAGCATGGTGGTGGCAGCATCATGCTGTGGGTATGTTTTTCAGTGGCAGGAACTGGGAGACTAGTCATGATTGAGGGAAAGATGAATGCAGCAATGTACAGAGACTTCCTGGAAGAAAACCTGTTCCAGAGCGCTCTTGACCTCAGACTGGGGTGACTGTTCATCTTTCAACAGGACAATGACCCTAAGCACACAGCCAAGATATCGAAGGAGTGGCTTCAGGACAACTCTGTGAATGTCCTAGAGTGGCCCAGCCAGAGCCCAGACTTGAATCCCATTGAACATCTCCGGAGGGCTCTGAAAATGGCTGTGCACCGACGCTCCCCATCCAACCTGATGGAGCTCGAGAGGTTCTGTAAAGAGGAATGGGCGAAACTAGCCAAAGATAGGTGTGCCAAGCTTGTGGCTTCATATTCCAAAAGACTTGAGGCTGTAATTGCTGCAAAGGTGCCACAACAAAGTATTGAGCAAAGGCTGTGAATACTTATGTACATATTATATTTTCGTTCTTTATTTCTAATAAATTTGCAAACATTTTAAAAAACCTTTTGTGTGGAAAAAGTGAAGTGCTGTGGATACTTTTCCTATGCACTGTATGTGAACATACTGGGGCCATTTCTACTGCAGTGGTTTCCAACCTTTCCTTAAGTAAACTGACCACCTGACTAAGTGACATATTTTATGGATTGGAGTTTTCTTGCACCCCTTAAAATCAAGAAGGCTGTGCAACCCCTTGTGAAGCTTTTGCAACCCCTAGTGGGGGCCGGGATCCCCACGTTGGGAACCATTGATTTATTGTATGTACACGAGACATGTCATGTCTTCCAGAACGAATTTATGACTAATCACAGATCTGACAGTTAGCATCTTCAGACAGACGAAAATATTATGTAGTGTGATCCTGGCATTAGTTGGTCCCTCAACCCTTTCTCTACCATATCTGTGGCACTACTGGATCTTTAAAAACAGGTCACAAATATGTAGTTACTGTTTTTAAAAAAGGCAAACTAACACTGAAGTTTTCAGCAAATGTTAATCATGAATTTGTGAGGGACTACTTATTACTTTTGCTTCAGATTAATAAACATTTGCTGCTCTAGTGAGTATTTAAGGCAACAGGACATATTGTGGGGATCAAAATAAACTACAGTGCCCATGTTCATCGTAATGAAAGAAAATGTTTTTGGACAACAATGGAGCTCTGTGGCACTGCAGACTTTGGCAACACAGGCAATGCTTGTAGGATAAATTTATTGTTGGTTTTTGGCTTTTCGTGGGATTTGCAAATGCTTAAAAGAATGAAGAATATCACCAGTCTTATCTGACTTGTAACTTTGCTTTCCTAACCCTTTGCATTTCAGTCAGTGTTGCACAATATTGCTGTGAAGTCAAGCAGTGCAGATTTTAAATTATAATTTAACTTTACCAAATATAAATGGATGCAAAATGTTTAGCTGTAAACGTGCAAAACAACTGGTGTAGTCCTTTTTTAAGAGACTGGGACAGGCCAAAACTGGTTCATTGGCATTGATCAAACCATTGATTTTCCAGTTAAGGAAGAGTCTGTCTAAACACCGAGCCACCCTCGGGTCCTCCAATGCAGGAAAGTTCCTTTTATTGTCTTTAACTTGTGTAGCTGTTGTACGGTTAATGAACATCACTATCTATGGTTTGTGTGGTGTTTCTTTCAGGAACCCCCGGTGGTTTTGCTTCTTCACACTTTATCAGATAATGAGGGAGATTGGAGTATCCTTCCTCTGCTGCCTTAGTAAGTATTGCTGAGCTGTCAGGATTCAGAAAGCATGCGATAAACTCAAGATTAACGTGAATGTCAGAAACATTTTGTCTTCCTACAGTTGAGATTTTGAAGGTTGTATTTCATTTTTGAGGACATTTTATTTGTCAGGTTTTAAGTATACAGATTGTTTAGAGCTCATACTAACACAATAACTGTGATTGATTGCTGCACATTATGATAAATGCCTTCCTAATGTGTCTAACTGTAACAATTAGCCTATTAATGCAGTTATCCAGTGGTCGATAATGATATCAGCCACAGTCGTCTGCATGATTGGACCTTCTCAAAAATGCAGTGTTAATAATTGTTTTTGAGGAGATGGGAAATCACATCGGAATCTGTTTTCTACTCCCACCATTAAGATTGAGGAACTATATGACAGAAAACACCCACAATTATTACAGAGCCATCCTCCCTGAAAGAAGTCTGTGTGCTTGTGATGGTTTTTTGTCTTTCTGCCCTCTAGGGAAAACTGTGGCTGCCTTGATCTGACTGGGTCAGGAGCCTCAGTTAGATAGTTCCTCAGACTGGACTGAAATAAAAAGACTTTTTTTTATTTTTTTTATGGAGTTTTTCTGTGTATAGCAATGTTCCATTTATTCTTATATTTTATTATTTAACTCAAGTTTTAATGATATTACATATTACTATTTTTGTGTGTGTGTGTGTGTGTGTCCTCCAGCATATCGTACTCCTTCGGGAAAAACTCATCCTGGATTGTATTTCTTGAGGAGGAAACAAATGTGAAGATGACTAAGCTTGCTCAAGTCCTTGCGAAATTTGACAAGAATAAAGTAAGTATATAATATTCTCTCTAAACCAGCATCACTCTCTGTCTGTCATTGTTGCTCATTCTCACTTTGTCAAATTCATCAGCGAGACCAAAGCCTCCTGTTGGGAGCTTTAGTTGATCATCGCTTCAATTAAGAGATGCGGTATCAGGTTGGCTCCAGCTCCTCTGCAGCTGTAACCTGTCAGACATGTCACTCCAGTCTCTGCTGTAGACCTAATTTAAGGCCTGTCTTTCCACTCATGAAATTGTTTTTCTTGTATATGGGTCGGTGGGGTAGGTCGGATATAAATATTAGATAACTGCTGCAGTCAGAAAATCATACATTGGGGTTGTAATGAAAAGATTTTTTCTTAATCATGCTTGGCAAAATAGCTTTCTCCATCAATAATTTGTTAATTTCTGAATTTTTAAAATAATGCCAATAACAGGAGTATTTTTATAGTTCATGGGCTTTTTTTCTTTGCTGTTTGTACTTGACAGCAAGTTTGATCTGGCTTTCAAGTGAAACAGAGCCAAAAATGATGTTAATTACTCTTTGATGTAAAGTTTACAGGAAAAAACGCAAGCAAATGCAGACGTTTGCTTTGGTCTGTCTCAGAAAAACTGCACGACAATTATTGGAAACCTATTTTATTCATATTGGACTATTTAAACCCTGCATTCAATTCCAAGTCAGAAATGGAATTTATTATTGTGTGACTATAAACGACCTTATCCTGAGGAGGAGGAGGAGGAGACAATGGATACATCACCTTATGATTGGATTCATTACAACACACCCTAAGGCTAAGACTTCTCTCTCAGGTGTTACAGCGAAATGTGGTCAGCCTTGTGTTGTGATAAGCAAGACAAAATTAGTTTTCATTTCAGAATATTTCAAGGACTGTAGGTTCTGTTCAGAAACTAGCTGCCACTTTCCAATTAACTTCCACCAATTAGATGCTGAGACACTAAAGCATGACAGGAATGAGACATGGTGAAACTTGTGACACATGTTGATTTATTGGCAGATAGAACTAACTAGAACTTAAACGGTAAGGAATAAAAACTAGTTAATACAAACATGTACACAAAACATTAGAAACAACCTCGGTGTAACACAGTACAATTTAACAGCGCCATTAAGTGCAGCCTCTATAATGACTGTAAATCAACACCACTCTTAAACAGTTTCAACAAAAGCTGAACTCCATAACCTTTGAGAAGGCAGGGTTTATAACAGGACTGTTGTATTAGAGTGTTGTTGCTACATGTATTTAATAAAGTAAGAAAAAACATGTCAGTGCTTTGAATTGAAATGATTTGTCAGCAGAATGAACTCATGTAACCTCATAATCAGAGTCCCCCTTCTTAAACATCCAATTCCCTTTTACGGCCACCTTCCCACATTCCCACAAATTCAAGGACCCAAAATGGCACAGTTTGAGACAAATTTAATTACTGTTACAGCACTAATAATGTTAAGTAGAAATATCAAAAGAACTTCATTTTCTATTCTTGCACAAAATCTATAAATTCAAGCACTTTCCAATGACCCATTTTATGGATTCAATTATTAATTTATTATTAATAATTTGGATTAAGATTTTATTTTACTGTAATTCACAAAAAAAGGATTTTAAGGACCTATGGGAAACATGTTACACATGCATTTAAAGAAAAAATACACTCGTTTGCTTTCTAGCTGAGAGTAAGATGAAAAGATCCAATTAGACAAGAAACACATAATCCCTCTTAAACAGTAAATAGTTGTTTTTACACTTTGTTTTTTGGGTACGGGTTAAACCAACAAGATATTCATGTTAATTAGTGAGCTTTACAGGTGCTGGTTGTAAGCCAAGCTAACCAGCTGTTAGCTATAACCTTATATTTACCATTCACAACATGTGAGTGGTTTCAGTCTTCTTATCTTAGAGCATAATAGTATTTCCCAAAATTGAACTATTCCTCTAAACTTCACGTACTTTAACTGTTGGCAGATCTAAATGTAAGATCATTTTTACTCCAGATATGTCAAGAATTAGAGCCTTTTTTGGCTACAATAACTTTGAACTTTGTTCTATCAAGAAATCTCATTATTTTCCCAGCTGGTGACAAACTTAGTCACAGGAAAGAATTTCAAAAGATTTTCTGCCAAGTGCAGTGTCAAAACTCCCAAATTAGGCCAGATGCCCAAATGTGTCTTTTTCTAGAAGTTCACAGTAATATGTTAATTGTAAAAGAAATAACATCTTGAAGTAAAGAGAAGTAGCCTGCACTCATGCTGACAATCTTTTCATCTATCAGGAGTGGTTTCTTGGTAAGCCCCTCCATGATGAGGAGTCGACCATTATCCATCACTACGCCTTTGCAGAGAACCCCTCCGTCTTTAAATACCCAGACTTTGCTGCTGCTTGGGCCTTAAGCATCCCTCTTGTAGTCCGGTGAGTATGTGCAGTAAATTTGTGAAAACTGAGTTGTAAGTTCACGTCACTGTATTGATCCCTATTTTCGGAAGGTTATGTTTCGTACTTATTCCATAGTTCAACACAAAAATCTGTGATTTCTTATTTTAGGCTTGCAAACAAAGTGAGAGATGAACCATTAAAATCTGACTTCACCATTGACCTGAAGCATGAGGTAAGATAACATGCAAGTCAGACGGTTACCTTGAGACCTGTTTTGTTTGGAAAGTAATGATGAGGCTCCTGGTTTTCCGTCATTTCTTAACAATTTTCTTGTTTGTCACACTCAAGCCAATGTCGACCTACTATAAGTTATTTGCACAAAAAGAGCAAGGCATGAAATCAATCTAACCTTGAAGTGAAATCTCATTACTTTGGAGAATTGTCATGGCGCAGCATTGAGGTTCTTATTTTTATCGCTGAAATTCAGTCAGGAAAGCATCTAGGGATTTTTGTTGAGTAAATACGGCATCAGACTTATCAGCCTCAGTGTGGAAAAAGGTGGTTCAGTTAGAGATGGCATGAGTTCAGTCCTAGAGATTCAATTATAATACTGTATATTTTTATGTAAAAAAACAAAACAAAAAAACAACAAAAAAAGGAGGATGCATTATTACATTTTCAAATAGGATTTAGGAATTTTAAGTTGTTTCAAAATGATAATACTTTGTATTTTTGCAGATTATTGGGCCACAATGCACATCACTAACATGTAGAAATAACCTCATGCAAGGGCTTGTATGGAAAAGTAGAGGCAGACATGAATTCTCAATGTCAATCCAGTTCACTGTCAGTAGATTAGCTCCAGGCTGTAAGTCAGTAAAAGATCATACTTTACAATTTCTGTAGATCTTGATTCTTTGAGACAGTTGCCAATATTCAGACAGCATTTATTGCTCTCTCCTCATCACGTATTCCTTCACTGTAATGTCTGGAGCTTCCCCTGGAAAATGGTTAAACTAAACCTAGATTTTCTCTTCTTGAGAAAGGGGTACAGCAAGACTCACCAGCTCTCAATTTCTCCTTCTCCGTAGCCCCCTTTAATTCTTTTATTCATCATCCTAAATATTAAATATGCTCACTGGAGTTTGAGTAAGAACAAAATTGTCGTATTTACTATAAAAGAAGACAGAAGTTTATGATAAAACATTCATGTCTGAAAGAATGCATCTTGTGTTCAGCTCATAAACTTGAAAAGATCAATCTGTGTTATTGCAGGTTGCCTTGTATATCTGGGACAATGGGAACGGTCCACATCTCACTGCTGTTCCTGAGCTGTGCACTGAGCCGGAGGACTCTTCTCAGCCCCTCAACCACTGTGCCACCACTCTGAGCAGCAAGCCTCCACTGTGTGTGAGTATCTACTCTGCAGCCTCAATTTGATTGTCCTTTGAGAAATGGTATGGGGACAAATTACAACAACATAAAACAGAAGGTGCTTCACTGTGAGCTATTGGCAGTTCTGTGATGATCTACGATATTAAGCCTTCATCCTTTGTCCCACAGCCACATTAAAGCAGAACCCTGTGCAGCACAACCTTGGACATTACTGCCATTGTACATCACTCAGTAGAATATTGTGCATTAACCTCAAAAAGACAGTCTTTGGTTTGTTTTGCTCAATTTAATTTAGTCATTTGCCAAGAAAGAAATACGCCTGCGTTGCTAAGCAACACCCTTTTGCGTCTTCTCAGCATCTAGAGTTACATCTGACAGTTTTTTCTGACTTATTTTGGATATTCATCTAAACGTGTTCAAACTAATCTCCAACACTGACCGAGTGTCAAACAATACCAACATTAGAAGTAATTTAAAAAGGTTTTTGGCTCCGCCAGATGTATCCTTTCATCATATCTGGACCAAAGAAATTGAAGTTCACATGCAAATTCATGTTGTCCACAGCTGGTGACTAACCCACTCTCAATGTCCCTCTCCTTTCTCCTCTTTATCTGTTCTGTTAGCCATCTTACACACATGCTCATCAAAATTTTGGGATTTGGGCTTTAAAGTAAAACATAAGTACCTAATGGATATTTGTTACTTTTGAATGAGCTGGGTGTGTGCTTTTTATAGTTACAGAAAATGTGTTGCACAAGTAGAAGAAATTTGGTTAATTGAGAGGACTAACACCACTCAAGAGAGGCTTTTGTGACAGAATTATATTGATTTTCAGTAAGCGATCTCATTTGTAGATTCATATTTACGAGATTCTATGTGCAAGACAGAAATATCCACAAACTTAACAGTTTCTTACAATAATCATGTCAGAAATAATTGCCACGATCTTAAGGTTGTGCTTGATGTTGCATTGTATGTGAGTGGGAGTCAGTGAGTGGGTGTGGCTGAGGAAAAAAAAAACCATTATGACTGGGTCACAAAGTAAGGTCAGTACTTTCATCGCATGTTGGAAATACAGCTTTAGTCTAGTTTAATCTTAATTAAAAATTTTTTTTACTGCTACAGTATGTTGTTTTTCGATGTATTCTAATACATTGTTAGTGTTATGTTTGCTCTAAGTGAAAGAAGTTTGGTTTCTGAAATCAGAAGGGTCAGCCAACCCTTAGCCACGGTTTTTGACCCAGCATGCACACTAAAACAATCAATAATGTTGGTATGTTGGGATAAGGCTGCATGGATGTGTACGTGTCTGTTGAGTGTGAGGTGAATTAAATTTGGGATGCCAGAACTGCAGCTGAAAGTGTCCCAATTCTGAGTTTTCTTCTCTCCCCTCTTTGTTTTGACAGGAAAAAAAAAATCTTTTCATTTGTGATTTGAATCACATACTGCCTGTGCATATGTGGTCTAGAGTCTGCTCCATGTTTGTCGCAGTCTGGACTGTCAGATTTATATTCATGTGGCTTTTACCGCCCTCTTGATGGAAATCATTATCCTCATAAAACTGCATTCATTTGACCAGAAAAAAAGGACAATGGCTGGAGCAGCCAGCAGAGAAACATGAAGGTCACAGGTTTAATAAGTATTCAGGGAGAAGTTTCCATTCAGACACAACAAGAGGAGACGTATCGCAATCGGCCAGTGGTCAGTTGCAAGACAAACTGCCAAGTGGGACCACAGCATCACTTGGCTGCATTGTCAACAAAGAATCAAAAGCCTCAAGAGGCAGATTCAAGGAGGCGAAGGAGGATGATCAACAAAGTGGCTGCAGCAGCAAAAACATGTCCTTTTTATTTTAGGAAATAAAGTTATCCTGTTATTACTTCTCTTTATATGCCAGACATTTGAGGACAGAGGCTTTTTCAAATTTGTGTCAGATATGAGTAATTTTTTTTTAGATGAGTAAGACAGATAAAAAAAAAAAAAAGAGACAATAAGTTCTGAGGAGGAAACTAAAGGTGAGCAGTAAAGCCCATAATAAGGATTCTGGGTGAACAAAAACTGAGTGCACTTAGTCTTGTAATGTTATGATGAGGTGCCTGAATGTCTGCTCTAAAAACACACTGTTCACTACCTGCTTATCACCAATTAGCACACTGTCAACACAGTGGAGCATGTAGCAGCTAAAAAGCCTGATATTTTCCTCAGCAGTTGGTAGAGACCAAAAATTGGACTTAGATTCATCAGGTGGAAACAGAAACATGATTCCTAATGATGTTGCTCTGTAACAGCTGGATATGTAAATTAGCAACTGTTTTCTAACAAGTTCACCATGTCACAGCTTGTTCTCGCTGCCCCCAAGTGGGCTAAAAAAAAATCAGCTACTGCATGTTAAAACAATTAAGCGAAAATAAATAAAGGAATCTAAATAATCTTTCCCTGCAGCCTAATTTGTACATTATTGTTTGAATTTCCAGCTTTTGGTTTCTGCATGATGCTCAGGCTCGATCGTAGCATAAGATACTGTTATTGTACATCACAACCTGTCTATACATGTTGTTGAATAAAGGATGGTTTGTGCAGCAGCTGGTGACATTTTAATGTGGCATACATTTTAATGCATTCTGTCTGTTGGTGAGTTAGTGAATCTTTTTGTGTGAGCACAAGAAAAATTTATCATTTTGGCCTCTTCCATATCGGACTGAATGTGCTAATAAATGGCACAGAGATGTTCCATTTTTTCCGTGTTATTATCTCACTCTTTCATTCAATTTATCATCTTTCCCAGTCTCACTTGTTGCTCGTCTTTTTATTTCCAAGGCTTTTATATGTTCACCTAATGCAGTCCTGACATTTTTACATTTGCTGCAGTATTATCAGCCACTGTATGTCATTAGTTTCCAAAGGAGAGCCAAAGACAACCGGAGGGCCAAATGACCTCAGACCATTAGCAGAAATATCCAATTCTAATTTCACTTTGAAGATAACAACTCCCACTGATCACTTTGACACTTAATATCGCCTGAAAAACTCAATTTCAGCCATTTGGCCGCATATGATATAGCTTCTGTTTTAAATTGATGTGATTTATGCTGTATTTTCATGCAGGTTTTTTTTTTATTCATGTCTCTTATTTTCATCAAAGGGGGAGCCTGTAAATACAGAAGATATATTTGTTGCCGTGAAAACGTGTAGGAAGTTTCACAGTGAAAGAGGTGAGTCACACTCCCACTCTTACAGAATCTACCAAAGATGCACAATTTTCCTTTAAGTGGCAAATGCTTTTGTCCTGCTGTTTTCTCGGAATGGATTTGTTTTACCTTTGACATGTGTGACTGTATACGGGTTTCGCCTGATTATCATGATGAAGAATTTCACTAAATTATTCCACCATCATGTCTGACAGGATTGAATAGAATTAAGGCAAGAAAAAAAAGGTACCTTGAAGTACTTAATTGCGTACCCCCCTTGATGCTGGAAAGGTACCATCATCCAACAATCCTGCAGATGTTAAGAAATGACTTACTGATGTTTAGCCATTTATTTGCAAGCTCTGTCTGACATTAAGCCATCTACAGTAAATCTGCTTCTCTTGAACGTGATGAAAATGTAGCAGGTTCAGTCAGTAGATCAAATTGTAGATTCATTTCAGAGGGATCAAACAAATTGTACACCACTCAAAGAGTATTGCTCAAAAGTAATTCCACTAATTACCTTAATTACCATTTCCTCTGCCAAGCTGCCATTATTGGTTTCAGATATAGACAAGTTGAAAATGAATATTAGATTTATATATCAAAGGTTAGCTTAGATCAATAAACAATAGACATGAAAGAGCCTCAGATTTAATTTACAATGTCTCAAAGTGTTAAAGCTTTTTAATCTTTATCCGTTGTGATTATCAAGTGCGAAAACAATAAAATGGACATACAAAATACACGGTTGATAATAAAATAGGATGAAGAATCAAATGGATGGATGCAGTGTTTTTCTTTTCTTTTTCCTGTCAAAAACAACCCACGCATACTAAACTTTCCTCCAAATACTCACAAACTAAAAAAACAAACACAAAAAAAGCACACAAATTCAAAGCAACATTTATCTTTTGTGTAGGTTGAGATGTGTTGTTTTCAAACTATTTTACTAAATCTATTGATTGTCTACTGCAGTACAGCAGGAAATCAACAGCTGACCTGCATGCTACATTTAGGATGTTTTGTAGATGTTTTATATAATTTGAATGTGCTAATGTGAAGTTGCTGTGTGATATTTAGAGCTTAATTGTACAGACTGTTCTTTATCAGATCAGTTCCAGGAGCCTTTTAGAGGCCAGCCAGCCTTATTTTTATTTTTATTTTCTTTTTTCAGCATTAAATATGCCACTCTGATTTACTTTTCTTGATTTATGAGAGTTGAACACAGCCTCGAGATCTCTGGGTATTCTGTGTGTCTCAGCCCCTTGTACACTCTCGCCTCGACAACCCAGAAACTCATCACAAAACCTCCAGATCTCATCAGTCAGATCACATTTAAGTCTATAGGAAAACTCTGATGATAAGAATTAGGTCAATGAGCAATACGTGCTGCATGTTCTAATAGCTTAGCTGGAACACACTCTGTATAGATAGAAAATATACATACAGATACAGTAATCCGATAACCTACACGACTTCTCCACCGGTGACAGAAGGACAAAAAGTCAAAAGGCTGCAGGTCCCAGTGTGTTAGTGTTTTTAGCAAAAACTGACAAAAGTTAAAAGTTACAGTGTTTATTTTCTAGAGGAGTCATATCCTGGGACAAATATCCCAGGATTAATAGTTGAGAAAAAAAGTTTTGTGATATTTAGTTGGTAAAACCATTTCCTCAAGTGAAAGAAGGTTTTTACTCTCCGAACTACATCTCCATACAGTACATATCCTCAGCATGTAATACCTTGTTATGATGATTTCTGCGTATTTTCAAGTTATCTTGAACATTGAATGACAGAAACCTCCTCACTGGTCTTTAATAGAATATTTTACCAAAACTAGACAGAAACATCAGAGAAACCATGTATTGCAATAAATATGAAATAAACATTTGCTCAGGGACCAAGTCTAACCAGAGGTCTGCTTGTTGTGAAACCTAGTAAACACTGTCTTGATTTTTCTTACCTGTGCTCTAGTTCCAGTGATAAAGAAGACTTGGGAAAAGGATGCCTTATTTTTAGAGTACTACAGTGACCATGCCGATCCTTCAATCCCAACCATTAATATAGGAGTACCAAATACTGAAAGAGGTAAGTGCATGTTTTGCAGCCTAAACTGCTTCAGCCTCTGTCGCTCCAACAGATACAGTTTCTGACCTTGGGCAATGGTGCAGGGCCAGCTGCACATACAGACGTACATGAAAAATGAAAGGGCAAATGAAAGTTGAAATATCTACAAGCTAACACCTGCTGAAGGGGAATGAAAGTATGACAGTAATTCAAACCTGATATTGCAAGAGAATTGAAACCAAAGAGCAGCTCTGTCTGCAGGGAATGACAACTTTTTGTATCTTAAAGTGTGTTTACCTCACAAAATAAAGACACAATTGCAAGACTAGGTATTTGTTATCCAATCTCCTGTGTAAATTGAAGATTTTAGTCAATTATGCTGGGATTTTTTAGTTAATCCTGCTACTTTTATATATTTCCTCAGTATAATTCCGAGGTGATAAATGTGTCTGTGCCTTCTGTTTGTTCTTGAATTTAAGGATCTTCTGTCTGACTGAGAGCTAAAAACTGCACATTTACTCACCAGAAACCCAGCCAACATCTGATTTCCACAGACTGTAGGACTGTCAGTATTTAATAACTGAAATATTTTCAACAGATATTTGTTTTTAATCTGACATTAGTTCATTTTATCACCTGTATAGTTTTTGTTTTTTAACACTTAAACCTTTTGAACTTTGCTAGACTTACTGTGTGGTCCATCTTCACAAACTCTTATAGCAGAGCCAAGTGTTGTTTAAAAGGCATACTTGGCAAGAGTTAGGTAAGAGGATCGATACAACTCTTACATGGACTTGGATCTGTCTAGTCTTCTGACTGCTCCAAACGCTTTTCACTACATGTCAGACTTACTCATTCTCAAACAATCACACACCGATGGCCCAGCCTTCAGGGGCAATTTGGAGTTCAGATGTTGCCCAAGGACACTTTGACATGCAGACTAGAGGAAGCCAAGAATCAAAGCATCGATCTTATGATTAGTGGACGACCAGTCGGTCGAGCAGTCAGTTAGCTTAGTATAATGGCATGGGGGAACAGCTCGCCTGGCCTGTGCAAAGGTAACACAATCTCCCTTTAAAGCTCACTGGTTTAATGTGGTGGGGAGTGTGCTGCACAATTTCTTGGCCAGGAGCTGTGACTTCCTGAAGTCTTGTCACCATTTGGTTTCCAGGTAACCAGCGGAGACTCCAGAAAGTCACTTTTCCTGGCCAAGAAATTGTCCGGCACATAGCCTCCACTTAACATGTCATTTTTACGCTTCAGTTTCAGGTCCCTGATGTTATCAAATACATTAGAATTGGAGATATCAGGAAATACGATCAATATTTAGATTTCTCATAGTGGTACAGACATATGTGGTGAACAATCAGATACAGAACATGTTTTATATAGTAAAGAAAACACAAAATAAGGTGAACTCAAGGATAAAATCAAGATCAGAGGTTAACAACCAGTGTTCATCTGCATTAAGATGCTGCACCTGGTAACAAAGCCCAAAGGTGGCTCCCACTACATGCGCCTGGCTTGACTGACTGGGAGGAGACCCTGAGGCAGTTCATGCAGGCATCTCTGTGACAAGGCAAAGCAAATGTGAAAACCTGCTTTAAACCTCATTCTTATGATTCTGGAAGGAAAACACATCCCACAGCTGGTCTGAGAGCCTGTTGATCTCTCAGGAGAAGCTTTAACCCAGCAACATCCTCCAGCTTCTCCTGTGGGAAAAACTGGAAATGCATAATGTATGATAATCAGAAACAAGTAGAAGAACATGTACATAGAGTGTAAGACCGCTCACAGCAACCCAGGGTAGTTTGTAAAGACAGCAGTAGCTCTCTGCTTCAGCACCCTCCCGGTTGCCTGAGGCAGAGGCCATTTTAGCGTGAATTATTTCACAGTCTGATGGCTGGTGGCATAAAATGGTACCTAAGACCTCTCACCTTAATGGGATGATGCATAGGCTAGCCACTTTCAGCCCACTGTCGGAGGGGTGAGGGTTGTTGTTCCAAAGAGTCTGGTTTAGTCTCCAGCTTCCCCTCAGTTACTGCCTCCAGGCAGCTTAGTTCAGACGTCTTCTACAACCTCTTTTATTGAGGCAGTGAAGGATGCAAACTGCCACCGGCTACTTGGTTGATCATGTGAACTAGTCTGTTGCAGAGCTGAGACTCGTCAAGAATAAAAGTCAACATTATCTCGTCAAGTTACTCTGTTATCAGTCCTGTTGGTATTGATATGCAACCCCTGTACTTGAGGGCCGCCTCATCTCCACCTCCTCGTTGTGAATAGTGACAGGTCTCAGTGGCTTCTCGCTCTGTTACAAATCCACTACCAGCTCCTTTGCCTTCCTGACACTGAACTACAGATAGTCCTTCTTGCGCCAACTGTCAATCCTCTCAGGTATTGGGTGTACTGAATCCATGCTGCAATCATCGTATTGGATCTTTTTTGTCAGTATATTATATAATAATAACAGGAAGTATCCTCAAGGAAAGATATTTTTGCAAATCTAATAGAAAGTTTGATAAGATTTAAGAAAGTTTGATCAGATTTAGGGAGGTTTGATCTTTCTGAATATGTGTCTAACCCCAGCTGCTCCAATTCAATTTCAAACTGATTTCAAACCTGTACTGTACGTCACTCACAATGTAAGAAAAAAACGTCCTTGATGTCACATGCAGAATGATGTTATCCCTGTCAGCTAACCTCATGATGACAGTGGCAGGAATCAGCTGTGATGGAGGAGTTTGATACTGCGTCTAGATATTATTCATCTGCAAAGAGCTGGGAAATACATCCGCTGCTACTTGTTATTATCCTTCTCGTGTTGGTAAAAAAAATCCCAGCCGAAAATGCCTATCCATGTGTAGAATACAACAACCAGTATAGCCTGGGCTCACTGATTCATAAAAATAGAGCTATAACTGCAGAATCAGTGGGAAGTTGAAGGTCGGATATTTAAATAAAAAGGAAGGTGACGGTACAGTCCCTCAGGCCACCACAGTTCCACTCTGCAGCTTATAATTCATCGCTAATGCGCAATCGTTTGACTGAAATCAGCCTTCTTTAAATTTTTTGAAAACACTAAATAGGCATTGATTTTTATTAGACATGTCACTTCCTGACTGTACCATACAGTGAATGACTGCTTATGGTTGACTGTAAGTGGATAAATGTTCATACTGTGCAGGGATGGTTTTAAAAGAGTTGAATTGAATTTACACCTAATAGAGCCCCTTAGGCTCTAAACTCTGGCTGCTTTATTGTTTTGTTCATGCTGACTGCATTTTGACTGCACATATGACAGGCACAGGATAGAATCACTGGATATAGTAGAGTCCAGTATATCATGGCTGTCTGAAGCCTAAAACCTGACCATACATGCAGCAAAAAAAAAAACATATTATAACCTTCACATGGTAATAGGGCTGCAATAAGTATTTTCTAAATGTATCAATTATTTGTTTGGTCTTTTGCATGTCATAAAGTAATAATAGAAATAAAATCTGTTATAGTTTTTTTCCACAGTCCAAACCGTTAAGAATGTTGCTTCAAATATCGATCGATTTACTGACTCATTGTTAAAGTTCTAGTAGGTAAGTAAAAAGACTAATTGCAGCGCTAAGTGTTGTTCAGCGTCGAGGATGTTTTCTGACCTAAAGATCTGTTAAATGATTGTCTATCCTTCTAAGCAGAGCAACATTAATATTCCAGATTTTTAAACATTTGTCATGATAGTCTCCCTCTGTTCGACAGATACTGGGGTCAGGGCAAGAGATCATGTGTGCTCCCATTCACAGTTTGCATACTGCCAACCTGACAGGCTGGCAGCTGGTTATGCCATGGCAGAAAAAAAATTCAAGTTGAAGTTGTCTGGCTTCTCAAACCTGCTCATTTGCATAACTCGACACATTCCCTAACTCAGGGTACCGAGAGCCGGTGTGACTTACTTGCGAGTTTGATGTCTTACTCCAGAAAAAGCCATTGCTCTGCTCCTCTCAACCAATAAATTATGTTAGTATTTGAAGCCAGTGTTGGATAAGTCTTTCTCATTGATCATTTAGGAGAAAGTGTCTCCTTTTCTTTAATTTTGCCTTGCACTGCGTGCCAGTATTTTTACTTTTGGGAGACAACAATCGAGTGTAGGAACTTTGGCAGCAATCCACAGTCCATCATCAAGGCAGGAGGATTTTCTCTAGTTTGGTAAGCGGCCAAATACTGAAGCTACTCTCAGTTTAGTAACTATGCATACTGTCAATCAAACAGAGCTCTCATAATGCCACGTACATACAGTTGATTGGATTTTTTTTTTTTACTGGGGTTTGAGTCTGATGTCTGTATATAGCATCAGAAAATAAAATTTGTTTTATACTGTAGCTTTCAACAGAAATACTTATTTGAGTTAGTCACACAAGGACATACAGTAAAGCCACAGCCCATTGCGTTTATCAGATAAACATGCACTGAAATTATATAAATGAAAAATAAAGCAGTTTATCTGTTTCTTAGTACCAAATATCCACATGGTACCAGACATATGGAAGCCCTATATATTAAGTGAAACCAAAAACAATCCATTTTCACAGTCCAATCTAAATTGTTTTCTTCACCTGAAAACATATGAAAAAGGTTTTGCCCGGATAATCTTTCTAAATCCCTTGAAGCTTAAATATGACTATGATTTATCCATGTGCTCTAGACACAAGGTACTTGTGTGTTAGCACGTTTATCTGACATTGTCATGTCTTTCTTTTGGATAGGAATGTATTTTAATCAGTGCTAAGAGAAATGGACATGGAAGAAAATGAATGCTTTTAGTCATACTGGGTAGTGGTGCAACTCAGCCTCTTGTGGCCAGAATGATTATTAAAAAAATGAAAAAAAAAATTAAGAGAGATTATCCTGGTAAAACCTTTTCTGTTCACCTGTTCTTGAAGGTCCAGTGTGCAGGATTTTAGTAGTCTGTGAAGCTGCAGATTGCAAACAAACAGAATACCGCCTTCCAAGCATGGAGGAGAAATTACAGTGGCTGCGAATAATGTGAAAGGCCCTAGAGCCAGTGTTTGGTTTGTCCATTCTCGGTTAGTGTGGAAACATGCCAGACTCTTTGGAAGAGGACCCAGACCCTCTGTAGATAGAAACAGCTCATTCTAAGGCAAAGTGAAACACAACAATTCTTATTTTCAGATGATTATATACTACTGAAAAGAAAGAATATTATTTTGCATTTCTACCAATCGATCTCCCTTAATGTTTCAAACTCGACCTTTAAATCACAAACACTAGAGAGAAAATTATTTAGACCATAACCAGAATTTAGTTTTTTCTCACTTGCCTCTCAGGGAAATACATTATTTCTTTATTTTTGTTCAACTTTTTCTGTTGCTTTTCCAGGACTTCAAGGTTTATCTTAATGATTGCTGAGAGAAGCCTTGGAGTTCATAAAGAGTCAACAGGCATCAATATGTCAGGAAGCTGTAGTGACCTTCATTATTCTTTATTTTTTCACCTTCCACCGACTTCATTGATCCTATTGACTTGCCTATTCTTTGAGAGCCAAGTCTTAAAACTATATTACTAATGTATGTTTGTAAAAGTTCAGAACATCAAGCTATCAATCCATTTTAAGCAATATGGGATGTGGGAAAAAAAATCACCATACAATTTAGACAGACAGACAGACAGACAGACACTTGACCCCGCTTAAACCTATTTGGATTATCATGCTGCCATCTGTAACGACAAGGAAACAATAAGCCTGGTGAAAACACAAAAGCCTTACACTATATATTTTGAAAATGGAAAAATAAACTCCACAGTCTGAGGTTAAAAGTTTTAAATGTGAGGAGAAGGGTGATGCAACACCTTGAAATGTGAAAATAAATACTTGAACTATGCACGGTCAAGTGTGTTGTAATTTCAGACTGTTGGAGAACAAAGACCTGATGACAGGAGACGTTTCTGAGGCCAAAGAGGACTTTCCTGTAGCATTATGTAGCAGTTGTAGGTAGGACATTTTAATGATAGATACTGCATGAGACATGGACATGGAAGCCTCCTTCAACTAGAAATGAAATTACCAGGCTTGTCTGAAGACCTGCCTCTAAAAGTGCGTTTTTTGGATTTTATTCCTGTCAGCAGTTCAAGGTGTCCTTACTTATTCTATATTCAGATACCAGCAAAAAAAAAAAAACACCTTGGGTGCCTTATAAATAAAACAATAGGGCCTCACTATTCTTTGTGATGCTTGCCACCAGGGATTTCTCAGCTCTCAGCCCTGATAGTGTGCAGATATTTGGATTCTGATGGGTATATTTCTTTGGGTTCCTTGTATTTGTTCCGTACTACAACATCACGCTTTTTGTTTTCAGGAGTTGGCAGAACATTTTGTTCCGTCTGGCAGCCATGTCAAACTTGCCAGAGTAAAAGTTTGATCTTCCTCGCCCATCATGCCAAACATACCTTATTATTTGTTTGAGATGTCAGAACATATACAACAGCTTTCTTTCGGCTCACAAAGCTCCAGAGGACATGTCCTGGCATTGAAAATATTTTCTATAATGCTGTACAATATAAATCTAAAAATGGCGGCAAAAACATTTTCGCCATTTTCGACTGTTTGATCACTGTGGTGGCTGATGTGTCCGCCTGCAGCCACCTGTGCTTTTGACATGTCCTTGAACAGCATGCTGAACTTGTCACACATTGTAACTTATGATGCATACAGCTGTCAAGTTAATGCTGAAATATAAATGGAAGTTGCACATGTACTGCACCTTATGTTAGGTATTAGTTGTAGGGTTTGGGCACAATAGTCCCACTCATTCTTATGGCCTCCTCAAAGGCTCCTATCAAGAGAGTTAAAGTGTAATTAATAAATGGCTTGTCCTGATTGATTTCATATGGGTTATATAAAACACTATTGGCCACATCTAATGATTCTTTATCATATCAGTTAAGGCACATTGCCCAGGCTGGATTTCCACAGAAGCCATTCATGCTGAAAAAATCATTCACTCATTCTTCTAAATGGAGCTATGGCATCTAACTTAAAACGAAGGTCTTACAGTCGTATACAATGTTGTTGTAGTCACGATTTGTGATTGTTGGTTAGCCTGCCGCCTTTCAAATCCTTTAGCATTAGCATAATACAAGACTGTAATGTTGTTTTTTTGTGACAGAGCTGTTATTTATACAACTGTGTATGTGTATGTAAGAAGGCGTCGTGTGTCTGCATGTAAATACCTGCTTATGCCGAGTGTGTTTTTCTTTTTGTAACAAGGTCATTTGTCTTTGTAAACCAGAATACAGCACATGGTCAATATGTGATTAAGTTGTACAGGCCAGTCTATTGATACCATGTCTCTATTTGCAGGCCACTGCGGGAAAACCTTTGCAATCCTTCAAAGATTTCTAAGCAGCTCTGTCCCAAACACCAAGTGGCTCATTGTTGTGGACGATGACACACTTATCAGGTATAATTTCATGATCTGGAAATAGGTTTTTCAACTGGGATACAATGTCACATTTTTTTTAAAGGCCATGCTATTTAATTTTTCAAGTTTGACAGACATTTATTCAGAATTTTTTTAATAGATTCTGACTCAGAGCCATGAAAAGTTTTGAACAGTGAAAGAGAGAAACGATTGGAATGAATTCATTTTGGGAAAATTAGTTTCAGAGATATTACCGTCCTGTCGAACATCTAAAAAGCTCAGTACATAAATTCAAGTCCAGCTGGCTGCATTTTATATCTGTCAGGTTAGCCCTGCATGTGGAAGCCTCTGGATGTGTAATAGTGCCTGAGGGAGGGCAGTTATTTCATCTTCTATGCGTGTATGATGATGATGATGATGAGGGTGTGATGAGTTTGATCTGTGCTTTCTGCAGCATCCCCAGACTGCAAGTCTTGCTGAGCTGTTATAACCCTTCTGAACCAGTGTGTCTTGGAGAGAGGTACGGCTACGGCCTGAGCCAAGGCGGCTACAGCTACATCACGGGAGGTGGAGGGTGAGTTTAACAGCTCAGATGCTCAGGGAAGAACGATGAAAGATACAGACGCAGCAGTGGGACTATAAAACCTGTAATGGAAAACCTGTAATCTGTAATTTACAGATAAACCGTTTCAAGACAGTTTAAAAGTGTGTTGCTCCCTTAAGGGATGTTTTGGTTTGCAGACTGCATTACAGTGAAAATACTCAATAAAAATATGGAATAAATCACCTCCAAATACAGTAAACAGACGATCATCAGTTGATAAGACAAGACAGGTAGTCAATGCTTCATAATTACATGTATCATAAAAACTGCTGGTTTCTTCTAGAAGACACATAGCATAAAAAATAATCTGCAAAATCCCTATTTTAAAGTCCTCTTATTGCATGAAAGTAAAAGTGGGCAATAAGCACAAGTTATATGTCAGCTGTCAGTGCTGGAGGAAAGTTGTACTATAGATAAATCTCGAGCTGTGAGTGAGCTATGTGAGAAACTCTATTTAGGGACACTTCAGTTGCTGTGACACTTTACAGCACTGCAACTGCCAGTTTTCTAAAAAGTGATATCTCCTAAAAACTGTTTTGAGCGCCAATGAGCGATTTCTTTGGCAGCTTAAGATTTGTTTTTTCATGTGTAATTGCCTCTCTTTTCAAAGAGATGTCACATCATTGTTGTGCAGAGCCGATTCAGAGAAAACCACATCTCCCTCTCAGCCTGATTTGCAGTTTCACTCCCTACTATGTCACCCTCTCACGATAAAATAAGCACGATGAACCAGACGATGATAGCTGAAAGACATGCGTGTTATTTTCTGTTTGTGTCTAACATCTGCTTCTAAAATCTAGCGCAGTAACGGCTGTGTTATTCTTCTATTTTGTATTGTTGTGTTTTGTATGTTTCTGATGTCTTCCTCTGTGTTGCTGCAGCATGGTATTCAGCAGGGAGGCTGTGGTCCGACTGCTTGACAGCGGCTGCAAGTGCTACAGCAATGACGCGCCGGATGACATGGTGCTGGGAATGTGCCTCAATGCTCTCGGACTTCCTGTCACACACAGTCCACTCTTTCACCAGGTTGTATTCATACTTTTACAATACATTCTTTATGTATCTCTCCGTGCGTGGGTTTGTTTTTTATTTATGAAATAGCATCCATATATGTTCTCACTCAAATATACTGGGAATTACATTTCCTGGCTAGGTGAAAAACCATAATCTGAAATCTCTTCAGCATCTGTTCAGTTCTACAGTAGGGGAGGATTTTGCAGTGAGATGAATGTAAACAGTGTAAATAACATCAGATTTCATCACAGGTTTTATAAACTCATCATCCAGAGATAGAAAGATACTTGAAGAAAGAAAGAAAGATTACTATGTTATTGGTAGTCAATATCTAATATTTAAAAACCCTGCCCACCCACAGAGGTGTTTTCAGTTCATCTGTCTGATTAGACCTCTGCTTATGCCTCATTTAAATCATATCTTAGATTCCAGAGAGTCTGAGTCGCAGATATCAAGAATCTCTGACAGCCACAATATCTCCCATTTGGGGAAAAAAGAACTACAGAACAAAAAATGACTGCAAAACTGGCACTTGGGGGAAGTTTTTCCATTCTGCTGACATTTTGTAAATGCAACATGTCAGCAGGAGCATATTCATGTCATATAGGATGGACCATAAAGATTCCCATGGGTATAACCTACTACTGTGCAACTCAAGATGGTTGCAGAATTGGTTTTGTGAAGGTTAAAAATACAATAAAATGGCATTACAGCGTTATATAAATTAAATATGGGTTTGGATGCATTTGAACAGGCACCCATATTTGTTAACCTCTTCAGGCCGTATTCTTAAATCACATGTAACTGAGCTTTTAGATTGTAGGTGTAACTTGATGATGTGAACGATATTTACAAATCATAAACTGGTACTCTAATGTGGCATTATAGGTCGGTTGAAGGTGGAGGAGCTATGCTGGGAATTATTATTATTTTTTATTATTTGCTTCTGTTAAAAAGGTACCCTAACAAATATGGTGTGATACGATACAGTACGATATACTTTATTGTCCACATATAGCTTCCTGCCTCCAAAATAAATGAACAACACGCATGAAAAAGCACATACTGTAGCAAATCACAACCACAAACTACTCATATTGCTTTTTACGTAATATATTGATTCATCACAAATTTTGAGTCACTGTGTCAAACAATCAGTAAATAAGATAAATTAAATGTTACAACTTAATACTTCAGTTACAGATCATTTCTAAAAACATTGTGTCGGTTGTTTTCGGTATGCAGTTTCTGTTTCAACATAAACTTACACTTTCAAGCCTTCACTCTTGTTCTCTGCAGCACTTGCGCGCAGCCTCTTGTGACTGCTTCCAAATATAAATTACTGTACTTAATCTTACCTTTCAGGCACGCCCAGAGGACTATGCTAGAGACTTCCTAGCTCACCAGGTGCCCATCTCTTTCCATAAACACTGGAACATCGACCCGGTTGCCGTTTTCAACAAATGGCTTAAGGATGACCTGGTGGCAAAGGCTTCAGATGGACTTGATAAGAGCGCTAAGACAGAGTTATAATCATTTTAAGCACATAGCTAGCCTGTATGAATATGTATGTATGTATGTATGTATGTATGTATGTATGTATGTATGTGTGTACGGACAGCGCGTGTGTGTATGTCGTGTGTGTGTGTGTGTGTATTATGGAGTCATGGAACTGAAATATTGTTCTTCACAGATGTAAATGTTTTTGTATTGTTGATGTTATTAAGAGGGACCATGCAAGCGTGTGTCCATGACTTAATATGCGAGTGTTTTCATGACTGAGTTGCATGTTGAGGTTACTGTTATTTTCAAAAATATGGATGTAACATGTGTATATTTATATCATATGAATAATGTAAACCTTACAGAGGAGAATCTTCCTCTTTGTGAGATTCTGTTACTTCAGTAATGCTGTACTATGTGCTCTATTTTGACATAAAAGTATAAATATTTGAGATTGTTTTGCTTTTCTATTTCATTGGAGGACTATTAATGGGATCTACTTTGAATCAGTAATGTATAAATTATGAGGTTGTTAAAGGTTGTAAAGGGCTAAATTACAGTATGAATACAGAGTGTTTGTTGTAGCTAAATGGCAGCATTAAAGCTCACTACTTGCCTGCTGAAGGTTTGTAATTGCTCCCAAAATGTACCCAATATGAAGTCTTTAAAAGGGTCCGACAGCTGTTCATGCAGATAAACTTCCTACTTTTACTTTAATCTCACCTAAACACCCTCATCATTGCATTTTTGGCCAGAACTATCTGTTTCTCACGGCTCACTATGACCTCAGTCACAGGAAGAAAAAATTAGCATAATTTCATGGGCATACTTTTTTTGTAAAACATTAGCTGATATGATATAGACCTGAGGTATGAGGTGGAAATGGGTTTTATCAACACCAATAGCCATTTGTCATTATCACACAAAATTAACTGTCTCAGATAATTAATCGGCAGACTCAGTGATTTGCTGACCATTATTAAAGGTCTTTCAAAGACCTTGAGCCTCAGTAGAAGAATGAAACCTTTCTCCTGGCTGTTTGCCATTTTGAAAAATTAATTCGGAGCCGTAATGCTTCACTCTCAAAAAAACTTAAAGTGACTGCTGCCTCATAATGGTCACCAAAGCTTTAGAAAACCTGAGGATTATGAAAGGCTTGATATTAATTACACTAAACTAATTAAGATTTGAAATGTTATTAAAGGAAAAACTCATTGCCAGTCCGTTAAAAGCCCACTGTTATACAGAAAACGTCCTTCTACTCACAGATTATGTCAGTATTGTGGTGCTAAATTTATACTGTCCTAATAGCACACTAGGCCGGCTCAAGTTCATGAAAAGTCTATTAGCCTCAGGCATTTGAAGCAGTGCAATAAGTCAAGTAGACATCTCTTAACACACCTATGAATTGTAACCTATTTGGAGGAAACAAGTTAAATTCCTAGTGGGACTCACCCACACATGGAGTGATGAGTGGTGGTAAGACACTGCTTTGCACTGAGGGAAATCCTCTGCGTAATTCAAAGTAGGTCCACACAACATGCTTGCCCCTTCAATATTTCTAGCATGTCAGCAGCAACATCCCAGCGGGGCTGGACTATGTCTGGTGTTGAATTTTATTCTTTAATCCTTGTCCAAAACAGTGAAAGGAAGGAAGGTGAGTGTATATAATGTGTTTACCCCCCCAAAAAACCTCCTCATGCTCAGCTAAGTGTCTGTAGCAAGGATTTAATAAATACTGAGGTTATGCACTCCACCCCATCAGAAAGAAATCTGACAAGAAGTTAAAAGAGACTATTTATTAGGTGAACTGCTTGATTATATTATCTGTGGATTTTATTTCCCTAGATAAACATCTACATTTTTGTTTCAGAGCCTCTGGGCACCGCTAGGTATAAAACTCTGAAGGTGAAGTTCTGAATTCTTTATTTGTGATTTATTTTGTTGGCCTTAATATATGGAATTGTGCTTTTTTTTTTTTTTTTTTTACAAAAAACAAAAAAACACTATCTATAACTTTGAACTATAGACTCCTTTGCAGAGAAATTCTAATTCTCACATAACTTCAGTGTCCTCAATGATAAGAGATCTGCAGAGACATCCAAACCTTACTTAAAACATCAGCTGTGCCGCTGTGAATATAGCTTTGATGATCATTTAAATTTGATGTTTTTTTTGCATCATGTGCTCCAAAGAACATCACAGATGCCTCCATTACCTAATTACAGTCATTTGTGCCACAATATTGCTCTGTGGACAGTTTCAGTTTTCACAAATATAATGCAATTTTATTTGCTTTATTGAGTATAACAAAGACAATATTGTCAGAGCGTTTGGAAATTAAAGAGTAAAGAGACATTTCCTCACTTAATTCTAGCTTTTATATACAGTTTTAGTTTTGTTTTTGTTTGGAGCTCCTGAGGTTTCTGCCTCTACTCTATTAAAATAGATGTGAATGTAATTTTATGGAGAAAGAAACACTCAAAATCTCTCTCCAGTGTCCTGGTTTTCATTAAAATTACTCTCTATCAAAGCATTAGTTGCTATGAAATCTGTGGACAGCATGTTTTGTAATTTAGTTAAACCAGCCGTGGGTTAAGTTGGGAGCAGCAGCAAAGAGGTGGCACTTATTTACCTTTATTCTTCCCTTTGAAGCAGTTAATTAGATTACAAATGAACTGTACAGCAAGTTCAGGTTCTCATTATATTTCAATGTCTGCCTTTACCTTTGTAACTAAAGATTTGGGTTCACATGGTCAGATTATTATTCATAAAGCCTTGTTTGAATAAAAGCATGTGCGAGCCATTGAGAGTCCTGGCTGGAGAGCAGTTGGAGGGTTTTGAATTATCAGTTCGGGCTGTTTGAACATGAGTGCATTTTCCTCAGAGGATTCACTGTGATCAGCAGGGCCTCCAAAATGGAGCAGATGAGAAGAGCTGCCGCAGTCAGTGCCATCTCAAATCTCTGTCAGTCGGCTCAGCTAAGGTTTTTATCATCACTCTGTTTTCTCACTTGTTGCCAATCTGTTTTCCATCCCTTCAGGGGAACAACAGCTACTGCAAAGATCTCTTTAGAAAAATAATTATGAGGCTTAATTTTCCCCAGTTACAGTAGGTGGTCTTATTCGGTGAGCCATGTTCTGGCTCGTAGAGCTGGCTGTCTGTCTGTCTGTTGGTCAGTCCGCCACTTTGATCCAGTCTGACATATTAGATTTTTATTGCCATGAAATATTGTATAAATGACTTTCCCATTCTCATGTATTGTTCTTGTCTGTTGTTGATGTTTAGTACTAATTAGCAAGTGTTAGCATATCGACAGATTGAACAGACATGACAACATGGTAAACATACCTGCTAAACATCACCATGCTAGTATTGTGAGCATTACAGCATGTTGACAGTAGCATTAAGCTCAAAGGACCACAGCTTAACGGAGATGCTAGTCTCTGGTTCCATTCATTTTAACAGAATCATGAACCATTTTAGACATTTTGTGACATTTGTACCTTGTAAATTAGAAAGACGTCAAACAAAACTGTAATTTAAACTGTCTGCATATATTTCTATGCAGCCTTTAAAAAATAGTTTTCCTCCTTTTTGATGCATACTTGCATTCGGTGATGTTATTAGTATGAATGTAGTCGGCTAATTTGTGCCTGTAATCTTGTGGTGTCAAACTCAAAGGAAGCGGTGAAGGTTTTTGTCGTTGTTGTTTTTTGTGCATAATTTCAGTTAAGTTGCAAGTGCAAACAGATTCAATCATAACTTAATGTCTCCTTAATGCGAGACCACCGACAATTACACTCCTACCTCGCCATCGCACACACACACAGTGCTTGTAGGTTAACAGTGCGATAGGCTATAGAACCTTAGAGGTGTCTAAAATCTTGTTTTGCTCAGGGGAAATTTCACTGACACTATCTAATAAAATGATGTACTGTTGTACTGATTTGAAACATTATGCATTCCAAAGGTGTTCCGCAGCAGGAGTCATCTTGTTGCTTGTCTATTTGGAATGAGAAAATCATGATAATGAATGTTGGCAAGGTAGCGAATTAATTATTTTCAATTATATGTATAATGTAGCAGTGTCCTGTAAGGGTAATATGATTGTGCCTGCACAATTTAGCCCAACAGAATAAACTCAGTGCCAAATTAGAATAGAGAGCTTGAGAGGGGTCTCTTTAAAGAGGCAGAGTGGATAATACAGAAGATGTTAAACCTACACAGATGTGCTGTTGAACTGGTGGGTTGCAGTTGTAGCCAGGCCAAGGACAAGTGTTGAAAGTCAAAATGCTAGCAGGTCTTAACCATCGGTTACACAAGATTGGTTTTATAGCCAGTTCAATAGTAAAATAAATAGTATGCTGTCATAGTGTCAGACTACTGTTAGCGATTAAAATATTTCTGAATACTACCCTCTGCCAGCTGCTTATTCCAAGAGAAGATTAGATTAAATCAAATAAACTTTATTGCCCTTGCAGGGAAATTTGTCTTGGACATGGAAGTCACAGCAGCAAGGACACAAAACAACATAACAAACAGCAGTGCAGGATAAAGACACAATACATCATAGAAAAACTGCAATTAATGACATATACCATTGGAAGAAATCTTGTTCAATTACTGTATATAACCAGTCACCATAAATAAATAATAGGAACTAGGGAACGGAAAGGACAGAATGGGAATCAGTGTGTGTTTGTGCAGTGGAGAACCAGACTATCATTCTGAGTTAATCAGTTTTACTGGCAGGGGAACAAAACACTCCTTGTATCTATTCAGACTGCAGCATGGGACACTGTATCATCTGCCTGATGGGGGAAAGATGGTATTAGCTGTCCAAGGTATATGTATTTTTTTGTGTGATCGATTTTTTAATTGATATTTTAATATACTAAAGATAAGACGGAAAGCTAGGTCAAGAGGTATATCCAAATCACCAAAATACAGCATGTACAGTTACAAAATAAAAGTAAAAAAGTAATTTAAGTGGCGCTTGGCAGCATACTTTGTGATTTAGCATTGCACTCCATAAAGTTGGGCGACTTGAAAGAGAAATATTTTAAAAGAATGGTCAGACTTGAAGCTGCAGAGGTTGAGATATCCTGACTTTTGGTCTTTTGAATGAGTCAAAAATGCAGGATCCTTCATTTCTCATAATGCAATTCAGTCGGATGTTTCAGCACATCTTCCTTCCCTGTTCCCTCATCTTTCAAACTTAATGTTTATAATGCAGGTTTTCTGTCAAATATTTGAAGTCTCAACCCTAACCCAAAACAAACTCTGATGGCTTCTTCAGAGTTATTTTTTTTCAAACTTCAGAAATCTCCCTCCAGAGCCACAGAAGATATTATTCTGCTTTTACGTGATGAGTGGTACTCAAGAGACAGTGTTCAGAGAAGTAACTGTCATAACTGGCCTCGCATCGGCCAGACTAAGTCGCAAATGC